TCACTCTAGGCACTACCCTCACTCCAGGCACTACCCTCACTCCAGGCACTACCCTCACTCCAGGCACTACCCTCACCCCAGGCACTACCCTCACTTACAAGGATCGTGTATGAGGCGCAGGATGATGTCGTACTTGAGGGGGGCGCTGTGCTTGGCACTCTGGAAGGGCCACATCATTTCTGGAGGACGTGGCCTAACAAAACTTAGAGTCGTCCTAGCTTCTGGTACTCCAACTCAGAAGCTGCCGCGTCTGTAAATTTTCACTGGGGAGGCACTTCCGTCCGCTCTGTTTAGCGGCGGTTGGGCGATGGCCGTTTGGCACTTTTTTATTCAGTTGACATCACGAGATGCGCTAGAGGGCCAATAAAAGAACGGCTACCTGCATCCAAAGACCCGACAACGACCCTAACAAAATTTAGAGTCGCCCTAGCTTCTGGTAGTCCAACTCAGAAGCTGCCGCGTCTGTAAATTTTCACTGGGATGGCACTTCCGTCCGCTCTGTACAGCGGCGGTTGGGCGATGGCCGTTTGGCACTTTTTTAGCACAAACACTGAGCCCTGTGTTACAGGGCTCAACAAACACTGAGCACGAAGTTACACGGCGCAACAAACACTGAGCACGACGTTACACGGCGCAACAAACACTGCATTTTACTCGCAAATCTGAGGCCACAGCCAGACGTGTTTTCAACAGTAACTACCATTAACGTAGGTCGACAAGCAGGCTCGTCTACCATAGAAATACTAAAATGTGGCATCGAATTATGGCAAGAACTCTGCGGAAATGATCGGTTTAGTGACAATATAAAAAGATATTTGTTCATCTTCGCAGAACCAGCACAACAGACAAGACGATGTGGAACAAACACGCAGGCTATCAAGATGTGGTTGACAATTAGAGGAAATATAGAAATATGAATTTCTAATATCATAGAAACATGGTGTAGCGGCGCAGCAATTAACTCGTCTTTTTTCCCACCGATCCGCTGGTGAGGTCGGAACTGTTTATAGGTCATTGATGATCAGTCATCAGGATATGCTATTTAGTATTTCCCGTTATACAGAATTTTTCTTCTACATGATATTTCAACCGCTATATGTTGCAAGACCTCCCACAACAATTGGAGTCAGAAGAATAGAAATGAAGCGATATTCACCAAATCATGCTGAAACTGCATTGATATGTTTCTTTGCGCAAAATGAGAAGCCATTTTGGTTTGACTATTCAACTACCATAGTTCATGAGAGACTGCCACAGTCAAATGTAAAGTGTCATATTCTACACTTGGCAGCCTGAGTCAAATGTGAACTGTCGCAGTCTAAACTTGACTGCCAAAGTCAAGCATATCAACAGACGCAGCAATAAAGATCAGCTCATAGAGACTCAAGATAACAATTACACTGGTAACAAGACCGGCCTTTCGTTAGCACTTCCAAACCGTCTCTGATTAAAAGGTTCCCCTCGAGAGCCACAAAATTGTTCATTTGGAAAATTCCAAGGAAATTCGAATAAATACGTCGTTGAAGGAGAGTTAGCAGACTACTTAAAATGGCAAATTCTGACCAATCGAAACCCGATGAATGATTCGAGCTGAGAAGAGATGGACGGTTCGGAAACGACTTATGTATATTGTGACATTTCTGCTACAAGCTGCTTGCTTGCAAAATTTACTCATAGAATTAAATTATATTGTCCTCAGCATGAGTAGTTCATGAGGGCACACAAAGAGTTGACTCCTGGCGGCTCATCCAAAGCATACACGCGAGGATGTCTGGTCACGCAAGGGGGGTAAAAAGCGTCTGCCATGACATCCTTAACACCCGAAAATTACTATTTTACCTCAAATTATCGACCAGATATCAGTATGACACAGTTTTAACTCTCAAGAAAAAAATTGAGTTACTTTAATGGCAAATTCACCAACACTTTGAAGGGAATTAAAATTAAACGTTTACGAAGCAGCCGGCATATCGCGTGATGCAGAAAGAACCACGGTGCCCAGAAACAAGAAATTCTTCGAATAGAAATAATTAATCTAATGCGGGAGCCCTTTTTGGCCGCACGCTAGAGCTCCACCCTAAGCCGACAGGAACGGTTACATTGCACACAAAACTTGGGCGAATTTAATAAAAGTTTTCCCAGTTTCGTGTTAAATATTTTTCAGGTGATTTTGACTAAGTTCGCAGTGAATATGAGCACGGAGCATGGCGGTTTTTGTTAAAATATCGTAGAATTGATTGCCTTCGAGGATTTGGCAGATTTGAATCGGGCTAATATCAAGTTAATTCAAGTGTAAAATATCTAGATTAAGAACTTTAATATTCTGCAAATAAGCGTTAAGTTAAAAGGCTAATATATGAAGCGAATATCCATATTCACTATTTTAATCGCGATTTTTTTCACATTCCCTGCATTTAACTTAAGCGCCGCTTGCTGCACGCACTTCTCCCACCAACAGTACCTATAAAGTGGCATTTGTTGTTGACAGGCACATAACAACGTAATGTGATATTAATCTTAATTCTTTTTTACATTCAATAGTAAATACTATCTTTTCAGCGCATTTTCTCATTTATGGAAAAAAATGCCCTATTGTGCTCGACATGTCCGTCCGTCCGTCCGTCCGTGACTTCACGTTTTCGTCGACGAGAAAATGCGCTCTCTGTCACTCACTGCAGTGAGTACTGAGTTATATTTTTTAATGGGGCGGGGAGGATGCAAAGTAAATTGGCTACATAATAGAAACCTCATAATAGAAAATACTGCTGCTTTTTCTAACATGGGGCAATTACATCGCGTCGAGTGAAGCACACGACATCAAAATAAAAATAATAGTCTTGGAAAGTTGTTGTCGTCAAAAAATATCGCCAGACGTTGAAGAACAAACGTATTCAAGCAAATCGTGAACTTGATTTTTGTCTTACACACACGGCGTCTGCGCCTGATACATGCTAGCTGTGCCTCGTCTGCGCCTGATACATGCTAGCCATGCCTCGTCTGCGCCTGATACATGCTAGCCATGCCTCCTCTGNCCGTAACTCAAGAGCCAGCGCCTCACTACGGCCGTAACTCAAGAGCCAGCGCCTCACTACGGCCGTAACTCAAGAGCCAGCGCCTCACTACGGCCGTAACTCAAGAGCCAGCGCCTCACTACGGCCGTAACTCAAGAGCCAGCGCCTCACTACGGCCGTAACTCAAGAGCCAGCGCCTCACTACGGCCGTAACTCAAGAGCCAGCGCCTCACTACGGCCGTAACTCAAGAGCCAGCGCCTCACTACGGCCGTAACTCAAGAGCCAGCGCCTCACTACGGCCGTAACTCAAGAGCCAGCGCCTCACTACGGCCGTAACTCAAGAGCCAGCGCCTCACTACGGCCGTAACTCAAGAGCCAGCGCCTCACTACGGCCGTAACTCAAGAGCCAGCGCCTCACTACGGCCGTAACTCAAGAGCCAGCGCCTCACTACGGCCGTAACTCAAGAGCCAGCGCCTCACTACGGCCGTAACTCAAGAGCCAGCGCCTCACTACGGCCGTAACTCAAGAGCCAGCGCCTCACTACGGCCGTAACTCAAGAGCCAGCGCCTCACTACGGCCGTAACTCAAGAGCCAGCGCCTCACTACGGCCGTAACTCAAGAGCCAGCGCCTCACTACGGCCGTAACTCAAGAGCCAGCGCCTCACTACGGCCGTAACTCAAGAGCCAGCGCCTCACTACGGCCGTAACTCAAGAGCCAGCGCCTCACTACGGCCGTAACTCAAGAGCCAGCGCCTCACTACGGCCGTAACTCAAGAGCCAGCGCCTCACTACGGCCGTAACTCAAGAGCCAGCGCCTCACTACGGCCGTAACTCAAGAGCCAGCGCCTCACTACGGCCGTAACTCAAGAGCCAGCGCCTCACTACGGCCGTAACTCAAGAGCCAGCGCCTCACTACGGCCGTAACTCAAGAGCCAGCGCCTCACTACGGCCGTAACTCAAGAGCCAGCGCCTCACTACGGCCGTAACTCAAGAGCCAGCGCCTCACTACGGCCGTAACTCAAGAGCCAGCGCCTCACTACGGCCGTAACTCAAGAGCCAGCGCCTCACTACGGCCGTAACTCAAGAGCCAGCGCCTCACTACGGCCGTAACTCAAGAGCCAGCGCCTCACTACGGCCGTAACTCAAGAGCCAGCGCCTCACTACGGCCGTAACTCAAGAGCCAGCGCCTCACTACGGCCGTAACTCAAGAGCCAGCGCCTCACTACGGCCGTAACTCAAGAGCCAGCGCCTCACTACGGCCGTAACTCAAGAGCCAGCGCCTCACTACGGCCGTAACTCAAGAGCCAGCGCCTCACTACGGCCGTAACTCAAGAGCCAGCGCCTCACTACGGCCGTAACTCAAGAGCCAGCGCCTCACTACGGCCGTAACTCAAGAGCCAGCGCCTCACTACGGCCGTAACTCATGAGCCATGACCTCACTACGGCAGCAGTGGCCGTAGCTTGATAGTAAACATTGGTCATCTCTAGTAAAATTCAGTTGGATTTATCCTACTTAACAAGTAGGAATAAGTAATTAACACTTGAAAAGGGCGCTTGAAAAAAGTAACCGCGGGCGCAAAATGCAAACACTGTCACTTCTCATATAAATGAAAAATCCTTAACATTGATGTACCTATTCATATAAATCGCGCAACACATATTCAATAGAAGCAAATGATTCACTTCAAAAATGCAGAGATTGCCTCATATAAATACACATGGCGCAATAATTAGCATCAAATGTATAGCTGGAGCAGCAGTGCAAAACATCGAGCAACTTCTTTAAGATAAAGTGAAGTGTAAATTGTTACGTAAAAATTTCAATAAACTTTTCACGCTTCAGCAGCACACAGCCTCACCTGCAGCACGCTTCAGCAGCACACAGCCTCACCTGCAGCACGCTTCAGCTGCACACAGCCTCACCTGCAGCATGCTTCAGCAGCACACAGCCTCACCTGCAGCATGCTTCAGCAGCACACAGCCTCACCTGCAGCACGTTTCAGCAGCACACAGCACTGCTCATGCTCCATCTTCTCTGCCAGGTCCAAGGCAGTGCAGCCGTTGATGTCTCGGCAGAGCAAGTTAGCGCCATACTGAAGCAGCACTGCAACGTTCTGCAGGTAACCTGTCTCTGCAGCAACGTGTAACACTGTCTGCACACAAAACATCATAAAAACAATAATTTAATAGGCAAAAAAGAACCTTACATTTTCTTATGAATATTTTAGGAAGATAAATCTTATGTGGACAAAATATTTAGGTGCAATCCTCCCATTTATCATGTGCACCTGCCTTGGTTGGTACAACAACAAGCCTTTATTACATGCAATTAAAATTTATCATTGGTGGTATAGTACAGATATTCATTTATTATCCAGTCACTATAGAGTACAATGAGGTACACATAGAAATAATGAGGCTACATAGAGGTATAACAAACAAAAATATACATTTATATAGGTACATTACTTTCAAAAGCAGTTATAGGAGTATTAGAGATAAATAGCTTTTTGGCTATAAGTGAGGATTTGTACTACCACTTAAAAAAATATTCTTTCTAAAAAAATTCATAATAAATAATTCAATTCAATATTTAAGTGAAAAGAATCATGAACATTATTAGGTAAACACACAAGTTCATGATAAAATCCCAACTGAAAAGAATACAGATGCCTTTGATCAATTTAATGATACATAATTTATCAATATAAAGTCAATCCTGTCATCAATCAATCATAGAACATACTTTGTGTTCAGCAGCAGGAATATTGCAGAGGGCTCCTGCATGCAGCAGTAGAGGCAGGCAGCGGGAGTTGTCATTGGAGGCAGCGGCATGCAGAGGAGTGCGACCCAAACGGTCACAGCTGTTAAGGTGGGCCAACTCTGGACCATTCAACAGATCTTCTAAGAGCTCAGCATTATCCCAAAGTGCAGCCTGTACAATTACAAAGAAATTCATGAGCTTAGTGAGATGGTCAGAGATAAAAGCATATTGACACAGCTATTTATAATACAAATTCTTGCTTTCCTTATTTGGAAAATTTGTTCTCTGAGCAGAACTCAGCAGATAGCAAATAGCCCTCAAGTGCTAGTAGTAGTAAGCATATGCATATCTATTGGCATATATATTTTACCTAATAATATTTTCTACACATCATCATTTATTAAGGTTGAATGATCTTTGAAAATCATAAGAAGAGTGATGAAACACAGTTCATTTGCTCCTCATAATGCATTTTTAGGATAGATAATAGGTACCATCTATAAATTTAAAAAATACCGTAGTAACAAAAAAAAATTAGAATAACTTGAATTGTTGATTGTGCAGATCTTGTAGATGTAGAAAACAAGAGATTTTTCATAAATATGTTGATTGTTGATTCCAAATTCCAATTTCCTGAGCTCTTCAAATCCTATTCAATATCTTGTGTATGTAGCTGTGTACTTGTAGGTATCATGTTATTTTTTCATGTATGTTTATCAGTTTATGATTGATACTGATACTATGATAGTGTTCATAATACCTAGGTTAAAATTGGCTAGGTACTCATTCAAGTCATTGATATACTTATTTATACAATTATACATAGATATATAATAAATAAAAATTAATAAGAAGAATACCTGGTGCAATAATCGCCCCGGAAAATCTTCACTGTCATCTTCTTCAAAGGACATATGGCTCATCAGGGGCATCTTTCTTTATTTAAGACTGGTAAATGTAAAGTGTACTTTTCTTTGAAAATATTTTAGTAAAACACCAAAATCACATATTTTGTTGACATTTGAAATCTTATGGATTAACACCAATAATTGAACAAGATGGCTTTAATCACAGCTTGGAAAGAATATTTTTGCCATGGCTGTCTCCCATCAAATCTGACTGTCAGACTGAACCTGAAATGGTGAAACTTTGCTGGAGTCTGCAAGCAAATAACTCAATGAGTCTGGAAAATGGAAACCTACCTACAACAATAAACTAAACTTGCTAACTTGTGTCAAGTCAAGTTATGTGTTAGTATGACAGTTTATGTAGGTCCCTATTCCCTACCAGTTATTCGTTTAATATGATATTTGGTCAATGATTATTCAATAAATACAGACACTAGCAAACTTTTGTTTATCTAACACTAACAATAATAGTTGCAACGTTGGGTACATCAAAAGTCATTAGAATTAGAAAGTTCAGAGTAGTTCTAACGACAGGCGACACAGACACAGATCAGTCAACAATTTGTTAGCTTTCCAACTAACAAAGCCTACAGAGAAAATGTCATAAATTATTGGAATTTGGAAACTAGTATAATTTCACTCGTAGACTCAAATAAATGTATATGAGATTCAAAAAACAATTAATCAGCGTTAAATTGCAGTTTTAATGTCATTCAATAGCTGTGACATTTTGCCAATGAATTCCTATAAGTCGGAACATAAGAAAATCCGTTGAGGCAGAAATGGTCGTGCGTTCGTCGATCGGTGTAATCATCCACTTCCACTCTAGACTCTACAGGAATTATACAGGTAAAAAACTATTCGAAATGATGATGTGGTGCAAATATTTATAAATTATCACATGATTATGATAATTAATATATGAGCAATGTATCAGACCTCCAAGAAATGACCAAATAATAGAAGAACCTATCACTATCAGCAATCTAAAATATATTTATTGTATTGCAAGTTACTTATCATCGTGTGATTAAAATTTTGCTTGATTATATCGCTTAATAAGTTTATACTTGAAGCCTACAAAATTATTCATGTATTACGTTATGATTGCAACACATAAAATTTTAGTTTCATTTCTGTTTAAGAGTTTAGTGTAGCACTGGGCACTGGCCAGTGCCATAGTGGCAAAGCAGAGAGGTTTTTAGACTCTCCCTCAAGTTCATTTTTGAGTCCTATAAGTAGACCAGTAATGTATCCTGGATACCAGCATTATCATACTTAAGAAATTGGTTTAAATCTTGAGTAAATAAGGAAATTCAAAATGAACTGATTCTAAAAAGCTCTGGTTTGCCACTATGCTGGCCACTGGCGGCCACAGTGAGTCTGTAGCACAGTGAGACACTGTGACAGACAGCTAAGACACTAAAGACAGTATAGGGTGGCCTAGGCTAGCAGAAGCAGTCTCTAACTCTCACTCCAAGACTGAAGACTCCAGTGAGTCCACTCTGAAATGACTGAATGAGTCTGAATCTCCTTCATAAAAAGCAATTTAGAACATAAAATATGAACTTGATCATAATAAAGAAGATCGCGCATAGTTGCGGTCATGTCAAAGCGGTCAGACTGTATATTAACACGTGCTGAACTTACAGTAGAGACAAATTTTATTGTTGCCGTTTGACTAATTAAGGGAAAAATTAGAGATTTGGGGTAACACGTGCATAAACTTTGTAAATAAATTCGCATTCGCACCTCGTAAATGGCTTTTCATGGCCGAGATATGGAATTCACGGCTGGCAAATCCATAAAACCACGGCTCGAAAAATTCAGTCGCGGCTCGCCAAGTAGATATATTCCATACTAGTATATGGCCTTGAGGGTCAAGATCTTGAATAGATACCCTATTAAAGATGTTGGATTGGTCAATCAAAGTTTTTAAATTTTAATCTCATTTCCATAAAATATAGATATATTAGATTCAATATTGTACAATTCCATTCAAAATATTAGGCATCTCTTATTTGCTTCTGCAAGTTCAAGTTCTACTGTCAGCTGTGGAATATATCTACCAACTACCATTGAATTTGAAGGTTGGGAACTGGCCGAACTGCAATGCAAATAGAGCTTTTCCATCATTTTAAAAGCTGTAAAATTCCTGCTGGGAAGGATGAATTATATTTGTCTAATTGTTGTCTAAAGTGCACAAACGTGCCAAATGCCTAATAAGATTTGAAGTTTTGAACCAAATGTAACAAAAAATTGATCACTTAGTCTTACGTTACCTCAGGCTCATACGAGCAGGAGAGATTTTTCAGAATCGGTCAATTTTAAATTTCCTTGTTTAATAAAAATTTAGGTCATCCAATTTCTTATGTATGATAATGCTAGCAGTGGCATCTAATCTATGATACTTTAATGGTCTAGTACTTAATAGTTAATAACTTATAGGGACTCAATAGTGAACTTGGGGGAGAGTCTAAAAAACTCTCTGCTTTTCCACTATGCCGGCCCAAGCCACAAGTTGAAAAATTTCAATCTAGTCTATGATCATGGTTATACTTATATATACCGTCAAACGGGGTAAAAAGGGACAGTTTTGAGCGTTTTTTGTTAATAACTTATTACCATGAAACATTTCACGAACAAGTTTAGGCTCATTTTATACGTAGCTCTTGGCGAGGGCTATCAAATGGCATCTTCAAAAAAATCCCATATGCTATTTGTAAGGTGCTAATATTACAATCTCTTACTGCATTCTTGAAATTTTTTATGAATTGGTAATTGCTTGCCAAAAGTTTCTTCACATATTATATCTTCCATGTTCCAGGTCATCTCTTTTTATTTTTTTGTATCAATATTTGTAAAATTTTCTGGCACCAGATATTTTTCATGTATTTTTAGTAAAATAAATTATTTTTTCAGGGTGATGAAATGGCATTTGAAAATAAAAATCCTGGAATAGATTCCTGGCATCCTCCTGAAGGACTAAGATTTGATACACAGTCAGTCAATGTTTCTAATTCTCTGCTTGAGTTGAGGAGCCAGGAGGATAACACAGAAGGTGTGGACTATGAAGCTCATCCAGGTTTAAATACAGCTGACCTAAACTTACAACATGAAGAAATTGTTGTGAACAATTTTGTGGAGCAAGAACTTCCTGCTCCTGGAAGTGAAGATGAACAACAGGCAAGAAAATCTGTCAGCATTGACATTTCATTGTCAACCAATGGAAATTCTGAAGATGAAGTTTTGGTAATGGATGCCTGCAATCCCCAAACAGTAGATAATTTTAGTTCTGGAATAATTGGCACCTCATCAACATTACAACCTCTTGTTGCTAATTCCCTGCCAAAAATATCACTTGGGATAAAAGCAATTACCACTAAAAAATGTGGGCCTCATTCAAGTTACTTTATCTGCTCTGCTGATGGCTGCACATCCACAAGTAAAGACCATCTGCTGTTTCCTTTCCCTAAAGCTCCAAGGGTTGCCCTCTTGTGGCTGCAGCTTATTGGCAAGCAAAATTTAGTACATCATCTTGGTGTTAATGGATCAGTTCCAAACAACTTCTTACTTTGTGAGAACCATTTTGATGATGATCAGTTCATAGAATGTTCTGATAACAAGCTGATTAAAAAAACTGCCATGCCCTCTCGTTTTCTAACCAACCCATCTGTGAAAACTGATAAAATACCTCAAGGAGCTCAAGCAGAAAACTCTTCTCTCATATCAACCATTAGTAAAAAATCTCAAAAACCTCATCAAAATACATCTTCAGTGGCTTCTAGAAAGGACAGAACAGCTGAATTTCATTCACAAGATAATATTCAAGAGGAATATTCTGTTACAGCACGAAGAAGATTTTTGGGTGATGACACACACAATTTACAAGCTGTTCACAGCATTCCTGTCTTCTGTAGTAAGTTTCAATAATTATTTTTCTCACTCTTGAATCATGCAGCTCACTATTAGTCTGTGAAACAAAATTTAACTTCAAGTTTTTTTAGTAGTAGTTTCTTCAATCTTGATAACCATGTAAATGATACAGTGAATACTCAAATGAAAATGAAGCATTAAATGTGCAGTAATTTTTGTAAACTTTATTATATCCTGTCTTCCACAGTTGATGACTTTGGGAGTGGAGAAGAGTTGGTGGGAAGTATTCTTCCTAAAGGTAATCTATTAATCCATTATCCTATTTGAGTATAATGCAGTAATGAACTCTGAATTAAATGTTTTATTGCTACAAACTGTCAATGCTTTTATATATTTTAATACCCTCTTCTTGAAAATGTATATTCTAGGTTGAATTTACTGCAGATTATCATCTTAGTTATGCTTTTTATTCATAAATTTTATTGCTCACATTTTGAAATTCAATTACTGGTTTTTAAGTTGTTAAGTTCCCAACCTACTTTCATAAAGAAGTGAATTTTTTTTAGATAAACCCATTTAAGTCAACTTGGCTGTTTAAGTGTTATAACAGTTTTATAATATGCTTCTAACTTATTTGTGTTAACTCCACTGTGCAGTGGCTGTAGTTTCGTTGATTCCTCTACAATCATCTTCATTCACTCTGGAGTTTTGTGTCGAGAATAATCTAGGTCTAAAGTCCGCCCAGTGCTGCAAAGCTGCCGTGAAGCATCTTGAGAGTATTGGCAGACTTGCTACTGAAGATCAGAGCATCAGCATTAAACGCATAATTGCTCTACAGTCAAATAATCTGGCTAAACTCAGTTCTGTAGACTTACGTAGACCAGAGTTCATTGATCAACAAATCTACTTCATCAAGTCTGAGCCCTCCACCTCAGTTGGTGATATTAAACCACATCAGGAAGAATTGTTTGCTGCAAAGGGTAAGATCAATTTATGACCTAACTGAGTGATACCAATATTATACCTCCATGAAACAGTGGTTATTTATCTCATTTACTTGCTTCAAATATGGAAAGTGGTGTCCTTTGATTGCAGCATGTTTTATTCTAGGAATAGTTGTTCTATTTTTTTCATTTCTAACTTTGAATGAATTACAATTATTTAAATTCATGTCATACATGAAGCTGTGATTTTTCCACTGTTTATAGGTGGGATGAGAAGGTGCGTTGTTGCCGAGTGCCGGCCTGACAAAGACACAGTGCTGTTCCCATTTCCAGTCAACGAAGACTTGTGAGTGAATAGCAAAGAATTACGTTCTTCCATTCACACCAATGATTTTATCTTGAAACTATGTTTGTCATAAATATCGTATGACGGTAGATTTTCGTTTTAGATGATGTGTGGAAAATTTGATGAAATGTTGCTGTAACGTTACTGAATGAGAGTTTTTCATATGTTTAAGCGATTTACAGAAAGCTTGTACTGTCAGGAAAGCATTCATTTTTTCCACTTCCCAAGGAGCCGTGAGCACCGTGACCTGCTAGTCAGATTCCTAAGTGTTTCTTCGCTAAGTCGAGACCACGTAACTCCACTATCGTAAAGGACCAACATATACATTTTTTTTGCTGCTCAAGCCATTTAATTCCTATGGTTTCTTATAACAAAGAATGTATAAATTTGTTGCTAAATTACTCGCATTGGAAATATGCTGCTTATGTGGTGTGTGTTCTTTATGCATTTTTTCAGTACAGCAGTCGTATAATAATTTTTATTCTGGTATTCTTGGTCATGGATATTTGGGTTAAAAAATAATCTATTCCAAGTACGGAGTGCAACTTCCTTTCAACAATCGTTTCTTTAAAGGGCAGCGTATCAAGGCATGCGTAGACAACCTACCTGAGCCCCTTAAATGTCGGCTGGGGACTGATTTATGGGGCGGGCCGCGGGTGGAGGCAAGTGGTCTGCACCACCTGCTGTTTCCTTTGCCTCAACTGCTGCTTCCTTTCGACAACTGAGAACGAAATCTCACTTGTATATCGCTTATTTTACTCCATTATTTTCTTCCTCCATAGACGGCCGGCGGTCGGCCAGAGCCTATAAGCTACGGCCGGTCCTGGCAATTAACCACCATAATACGGCCTGTTACCTCAGTGACAGAAATGTGGTAAAGTAAAAAGAGACTCAGAGGGGAGATAACGACCATCAGTGTGATTTGTTTCACAGCCTTGTCCTCTTCATAGAGTTTCATGCAGTTCATGCCTCGCTGAGCCACCCTCTTACCGGTTCTGGAATATCTATCTAAATTGCGAATCGCAATTTGGTTTGATCAATCAAACCATAAAATCAAATGGTTTGATATCGCAGGTGCCGCGCGTGGTTGGAGAACATGGATGATCCGAGCCTGCTTGAGCTGTGTCACAGAGACGGCTACAGCTACTGCCACGAAGCCCTGCATCTGTGCTGTAAACACTTCCAACCCAACTGTTACATCACCAGACGGGCCAGGCTCAAGTAAACATGCTTTTAGTGTGCTGGACATACCGAACTAATCCTATGTATTTTTGGATGTTATTTTACAGGGAAATCTAAGTTACCGATGTAACTTATGAAGTTTGAAAGAGACAAGCAATATTAGGGCTTATCTCTTATTTATTTATATCTTATTATTTTTGAACCCAAAGAGTTTCCAACTGATAATTTATCAGTTGGAAACTTTTAATAAAAAGTTTACATATTTTTTGTTACTGTCCACCGTTTGCAAATGATAGGCTGGGTAAGCATGGAAAAATTAATATCGCCATCTCATTTACGAGTGGAGTAAAGTCCAGCCTAATTTGTGGAGAAACTCATAGGGAAAAGCCGGGCCTGTTCGAAGCCTCGCTGTTCTCAATCAGAGCCTTAAGCTTACTTGTGGCGTGCAGTTCCCTGTCACATTAGCACTCGTAGCATCTAGTAAGTACAGCAATGTCTTCGAAGGACCTTACGGACCGATGTGTCAGTGAAGGGTGACATTTAACCCATAAGACTGTTAGGCATCCGTCAAGTATTCAATGTTTTATGAAGATATTGTCAACTTTTGTGTCATTTTCTTTGGTTTTAAATTCTTGGTGAATTGCAATTCGAGCCGTCAAGTGATGCTCCTATCAACAATTTACCTCAGATGCTCCCAACAATAGTGCTCGTGGCTTAAAATTGCTATTTCGAAAAAACATTTCACTTATGTACAATTTTAATTTACCTAATATTAAAACTACTACAGCTCGTCTATTCCAAATCTATTATATTCACCAGACTCATCCCAAACGCCGTGCCTACAATATTCAGGCACGGCCGGCTGAGCTACCCCTGCCGTTATGTCTCATGGAGACCTTCTCCTTCCGACCTCCGATGTGACCACGACGACTGCATGGAGGTGGCAAGCAGGCCTTGGCAGTCAGCAGAAGAGGCGCGGTATCTTCAAAAGCGAAGGCGATGGTTAGAAAGAATGAAGATTTTAGCTATGGAGGCTTCCTGCCGCGAGTCCCCTCTGAGTGTACATAAGAGAAGGCGCGTGGTCTCGCACTTGAGTTCTGAAGTCCCCGACTGCAGCAATAATTATCTGGGTGATGAAGCTGCGGATGAAGATGATGAGTCTATCGTTCAACTGCCAGGTGGAGGCTCTCAAGTACTAAAAATCGAACGACGTTGGAACAATCCTACTGAGGATGAGATGAGTGAACTCGACAATGATTTTGAAGACCCGGCGCTTCTAAAGAAGGCCATCAAAAGATTCTGTGACGAACAAGTGTCCCTGACAGTCAAGAGGAAACGAACTGAGTAAGTTTTGAACGAACACCTTGTGATTCTCTGTAACTCATCAGCTGCCTTTTAGACAGTCGAATCTGTTGCTCTCGTTCTTCTCTGAAGATTTTGATCTCGACTATCAATCCATTTTTTTGGTAAACATAATACGTTCCTTGTTTGTTCCTAGTATCCATCTCAGTTGTCAATCAATATAAACCCTGATTCCATTTTGTAGTTGCTAGTACTATTTTCCATTTACTTATAATTTGTGCATTGTTTCCATACGTTTTCATGCAGTCGTACCGAAATCCTGTTTCGCTGCATACTGATAATAAAATATTTTATCTATCCGAGTATCTAATATTTTTTTGACAAGGAAATATTCTGCCAATCAATCTTAGTCACGACTGCTTGTCAGTACAAATCTTCTGTATGAATAGGTAACAAGTGCCTTGAAGAAATTTATCCTAATTAAAAGCTGATAAGAACTAAAGCATTTGTTCCGTTATCAGTGCCAGGGTTCGACGTAGGATTACACCCCGAAATTCTGGCCCAAAACAACGAAAGCCTCGATCAATTTACCCACTGCGCGATGAGTCAGGTGAATATATTTGAATTATTGAAACTTGTGCAGTCTGATTGAGCATTTCTTCCTGAAATGCACCGCAGAAATAGTTTGAGAATTTTTTTAAAACCTAATTCTATGTTATTCATTAGAGACGCATCGTAGCATTGCGATGTCAGGGTATCAATTTTCGAGTAAAAAATTTCACTTTTTTCCATGGCGGGAAATGCGTTCTCGTAGTGTCATGTTCTTTTGCATGTTTTGAGATGTTTCGTCCAGCTCCATCAAATGAACTTGATCATAAAATTATGGTTGCCTTCATGCAACTTTGTTCACGTTATTTTTTATATCCTCAGGGCGTTCACTTCTCTTTTATCTGTCCTTTTTAGCGCATTTTCTCATTTATGGAAAAAATGCCCTATTGTACTCGTCATGTCCGTCCGTCCGTCCGTCATTCTGTCTGTCTGTCCGTCCGTGACTTCACGTTTTCGTCGACGAGAAAATGAGCCCTCCGTGACCGTCACTCACTGCAGTGAGTACTGAGTTATATTTTTTTCAGTGATGTAATGCTACGAAATTTCAATTTACAGAGAAAAAAGTGGACATGGCGCAGCTCGCAGATCTGGACGCTGAAGTATCACAACTACGCGCTCAACTGAACCTTCTGAACACGGAGCATATGCGCCTGCGCAGCGCAATCTTCCGTGTGAGCAAGAACGTGGAAATGGAGGAACAGATGCCGCTGCGTCACTTCCTTACTCCTAAAGATGCATTTGATGCTTGCAAGCGCAAGCTAGACCCGTGCACCTATGGATTTATGAACCATCAACAAAGTCACTACACTAAACCGCACTGGGACACCCGCTCTGCAAAAATTCCCATTCTGATATCCCGCTGTAGTGTGAAAGTCTGGGACGTTCTTCAAACGCTCTTTAAGTTGCCCTGTAAAGCTAGTCTCTTCAAATACAAAGCTCTAGCTAGGAAAGATCCTTCGATATTCGAGAATTCAGCGCTCATGAACGAACTTGTACAGAAAACTTACAAAAGTCGCTTCAAGAGAGCCAGACCGCGTCAGTACACTAAGAAGAATTCTCTGACTGGGCTCACAGTGTCCAGTGTCTTACAGAACTACATCATGAAACACGAGATCGTGCCGGAAGTTTAGATCCATTGGCCGCTGTGATAGAAACTCTTTGCTTATTGACATGATATGAGCCCTAAGACGATCATAAAAACACATTGCCTGTCTCCATTTGGATGTTACTTCCAAACGACGCATGATGATTGCCTTCATATATTTTAGTTAGTCTTTGTTTCTAGATCGGTTATGTTGACTGCGTTTTTTTGGTTAAAAAACTTGCAAGTTATGTCATATTTACATCAGTCAGTGTTGGGTTGTGCAATGTTGAAAACCATATTTGATTTCAATTTGCTGATAACCTGCCTTTGTCTTTACCATTATTCATAGTCAGATACTGCATTGGCTTGTTTAACTACCCTGGGTGTGGTTTAGCTATCATAGCCTTGCTGTGGTTTAGCTATCATAGCCTTGCTGTGGTTTTACATTGTTGTCAGCCAGCCCTCCGATGACCCGCTGAACGACGCCAGGGAGCACGTGACGGCGATCAAACTTACTGTTCCGCTAAATATAGTCGCTTATTTTCTTCCCTTTTCGTTGAATCCGCAACAGGGAGCTAATTTTCAACTATGTCTACCCCATAGTTAATGTTACTATAATCGTAGAATTCTCATTTCACGTCTGTTAATTAATCCTTTAGATTCTAAAGCATCAATTTAACTTACGAATTTCACGATCGAATCTGAATTAGTAATTTAGTATGGCAGAAATTGCCATTGCGTCTAGGTGATCCGTAGTTATAACTGAGGAGTTTTCTTCGTGAATAACTGTAAATCTATAAAATATTATACCTATTATTATCATTATTAATAATATTATAGATATTAAAATTAGTTTAATCATCACATTTAACTGGATTCCACTTTGATTTAATAAAATAAGTGAAATTGTAAATATTTCATTGCCGATGTCAGTCACTGATGGTGTAATGTGAGTTGCACTGTTGTAGTTGACACTCCGAGTAATAAGTATCATCCGAGGTGACTGTTCAGTGAGCGATGATGTTGCGGCAAGAGAGATGTGGCACACAGGCGATCAAGTTTTTCTTCTCACCCTCTCACTCCGACCATTTTTGTGTGTAAATCTTGAATTAAAATTAACGCGAAACGCAAGGTTTAAAAATTTACTTGTGCAGGGTAGACACAGTCGTGAATCCCGTCGTAATTTATAATTCTTTTGCTTGGATATTTAATATGTCACGCGAATTCAAATCGACGCGGAACGAGGACGTACGAGAAGATCATTCACGGCTCACAAGGCCTTCATGACGACCATCATGTTCTCTTCAGGCCTCTGCGTTCCCGGGGACATCTTGTATTTTATTTCTTCGAATCCCTCGGCGATGTCCAGCTGGAAGTTGAGAACGATCTTTGCGATTGCCAACTTGATTCCCATCAGCGCAAATCTCTGAGCTGGAAACATGTGCTGCAATTAGCTGTTTTGTTTTTTCTGTTGCTTTTTCATCAACTATTTCTGTAATAATTGTCTCTTTTACTTATTTGAACACCAAACTAGTATTTTAATTCTTAAGTCCTGACAAAATTAAAAGTCTGATTTGGGTATGTTGACCTTGTAAGTGTAATTTACGTCTCAATTATTAGTTAACAAGCGATATTCCTTCGACACTTGGCCGTCGGAGAAGCTGAACAGTTGCTGAAGAGTATGTCATTACTATCCTACCCTAACAATATTTAGAATCGCCCCAGCTTCTGGTAATCCAAATCAGAAGCTGCCGCTTCTGTAAATTTTCTCTGGGTAGGTGACCAGGGACAACGAAAGCAACTATCAATGACCTTACTCACCGATGCACATCCTAGGACCCATCCCAAACGGCAGGTAGGCCCCGGATGGAATCTTTTCCTTGTTGCCGGACAGAAATCGCTCGGGCTTGAACTGCTCCGGGTCAGGGTAGTATTCCTCATCGCGGTGCAGGGACCAGATTGGTACCGACACCATCATCCCCTCGGGCACGGTGATAGAGCTTCCTGGGATTCTGCAAATAGTTACAAGAATAAACTAAATAGTGATTGTTTGAATGAGAAGGGTTTATGTAAATGTTTAGGTCAACTTACTACACGTCATCCTAACATCCGCTGATGAAACAAGCGGCTGCCAAAAATTTTAGATTTAATCAGACGAACCTATCATTATCGATTATAAAATAAAACAAATTTTTAATTGTAGGGGGTCTCTATGCTTGAATTACATTTTATATGCTAAAGGTAATTCCTGGAATTTCTCGCACGTACAAAGCCTAATAGAAACTAACATAATCAAATTTCATTACAGTTAATGATTTCATTATTTAGACTTCAGGCTACCCAAATTATCTTGAGCGTGTGAGAACATAAACGTAATGTGATGATTATTGTAGGGATTTTGCTAGCTGAGATTTATCCTGATTTTTATTGGACAAATTGATACTGACGTGTAGGTCTTAGTGCAGCGCCGCTCGGTGAAGGTGGTCGGTGGAAACAGACGGAGGGCTTCTGCGAACAATACCGCAATGTTTATGATTTTATTATTTCATTATGCAAACGTTCGAAAAAGAGCTTATCAAGTAATTTAAATGACTGTATTTGAATCTCATAATACAAACGTTTGATTACAAGCAAGTGATAATAATTAATCTTGAATTATCCCATCATGACAGGTACAGGCAGTTCAGGAGGTCAACTAGTTTGTGATTATACTAATAATTAATAATAATGTTTTGTCAGGCAATATCTGAAGTGCGGCGCCAGCACATCAAGAAAATTAACACTAATATTTGAGTATTCTTTTTAATCAAAAGATTATCCTTGAACTCAACTTATTGCTACTAACCTGCCACGAATGCATCTAGATAGGGTGCCTCCATGATGTCTTGGTACGTGATGTCTTCTGCGGTCCCTAAAGCGGCGAGCTCGGTCCTGACTTTTTGTTGGCAACTCGTGTACTTGGCAAGGCAGTGCACTGCTGTTGTCAACGAGTTCGATGTGGTGTCGTAGCCTGCCACGATGAACAACAGGGACTGAGCCACGATCGAGTTATCCGACAGTTCTGTAATTTGAAACCCCAGATTAAATGCAGTGTTCAAACTTTCTATAACAGACACGAGTTCGCAGCTGAGAAAGATCGCTCACAATTGAGGAAATGATTTGAACAATACATTAACCGTGTCTTTAATGGTCCTTAATGTCTGGAGATCAAGCTGCATGAGGTCACCTCTCGCAGTTACGTTCGTTGTTGGAAGTCTGTAAGTCAAATCATCAGTCACGTAGGACTATCGAAATCCGTGTGTGAGTGTACGCTGGAGGCAGCTAAGCGCAGATTAACACTTAAAAAATTGAAGATTATATTAAAAGTAAATGCAATTCCTTTTTTCTTTGAGCAAAATTGGTATGGTACCTAATTAGTGTATGGAGACGGTTAGAATAAATATCAATTCACTTACTATATTTATGCGGTCGTGCCAGGTTTTGTTCGTCATTAGAATCCCTTGCCTCCAGCATTAAGTCAACGAAGTCCCCTCGCTTGGGACTCCCCTGCCGTGCGGCGATGGTCTGTCTCAGGGATGCTGCCAAGGAGTTGATCTGGGGAGTTGACAAGTTGACGCCGAGCCGTTTGGCAAGCTTCGGGAAAAGCACCATAATGAGAAATCGTGCCATCCTCGTTTTACTCGTTTTGAACAACGCCCTGGCATTATCTACGAAAGCCGAGTTTTCGTTTTTCAACGAATTTATCTCCATGCCAAATGCGCATGATCCAATGACATCCATGGCGAAGCTCCCAAAGAGCGAAGGCATCGTGATCCGAGACAAATGATCTCTCTGGTCGCGACAGGCCTTCACGAGTTGGTCTGCCTTCTCTGCCACCAAGTGGAACATGTTTTTCATTTTGCCTGACGTGAACGTGGGAGTCAAGACTGACCGAATTCCTTTCCAATGGTTTCCCGTTACGGTCGTTAGCATCTCATCCAGAATTTCATCGTTAAAATGAAACGTACGTCTGTCAACAAAATGATCGAAGTCTTTAATGAGCACGGATTGGACGAGGCTCGGTGACAGAACTGTGAGTGAGGGCGTCAGCCAGTCGTACAAGCCGATCATTCCTTCGTGTTTGTGTTCCTTGTAAGCCTGAAAATATTTAGAGATTTCCAATAATTTTGGCCATTGTAGCGGCTAATGTAGCGCGCTACATTTTACTGTAGCGGTAGCGGTAGCGCCCGTTATAATATAGTGGGTGTAGCGGTAGCGGTAGCGCCCGCTACATTTAGAGCATGTAGCGGTAGCGGTAACGCCGCTACATTTCCAAGTAGCGCTGCCCAGCTCTGGTCCCGAGTAGCCTCGTTCGACGGGGCTACTCGAGACACTCTTTTTTTTGCTTCTGGCACCTTACAAATAGCATATGGTATATTTTTGGAGAAGCCATGCGATAGCCCTTGCAAAGAGCTTTGCAATGAGCCTGAACTTGTTTATGAAATGTTTCATGGTAAGAACTTATGAATGAAAAACATTCAAAATCGTCCCGAGTAGCCCCGGTTGACGGTAGATATTAAAGATGTTGGATAAGGATTGGTCAATCAAAGTTTTTAAATTTTAATCTCATTTCCATAAAATATAGATATATTAGATTCAATAGATTGTATGATTCCATTCAAAATATTAGGCATCTCTTATTTGCTTCTGCAAGTTCAGATTGGACGAGGCTCGGTGACAGAACTGTGAGTGAGGGCGTCAGCCAGTCGTACAAGCCGATCATTCCTTCGTGTTTGTGTTCCTTGTAAGCCTGCAAGAAATATCAATGCACAAAAGGCATAATTTGATGTAAAATTTCGTCGGTTTTAGTTACAATCAAATGTCAGAAGATTATCATTGTCGACATTATCATTGTCGTTAATCCCTGAATTTCAAAGTGATCGGATGCTTCAGCACAATATTTTAAAAATCAACGTGGTATTATTTTAGTATCAACCAACGACCTGTAGACTTGAAGGTTGATTGCTCGGCAATCATAAGATGTAAAAACAAGTCCGCAATGCTAGTATCTTCATCACGGAAAGAAATACTTAGCGTCAAATGCCCTCGCCTTGTCGACAAGTTGGTGTCTCCTAACTTTGCTGGAGAAGAAATAGAAGAAATATGGAGCGGAAAGAAATACGGAGCGTCAAATGTCCTCACCTTAGATTGGACGAGGCTCGGTGACAGAACTGTGAGTGAGGGCGTCAGCCAGTCGTACAAGCCGATCATTCCTTCGTGTTTGTGTTCCTTGTAAGCCTGTAAGAAATATCAATGCACAAAATGCATAATTTGAAATGGATTTTTGACGGCTTTGGTTACATAACATAGTAATGTCGGCGCTGAAGAGTAGGCCTGATGTGGCCTGTTACAATCAACTGTTGGATTTTACTACGAATGCAGAATATCAAACTGATCTGATGCTCCAGCACAATATTTTAAAATCAACGTGCTATTATTTTTATTATCAACTAACGGCCTTTGGACTTGAAGGTTTATTGCTCGGCAATCATAATATTTAAAAACAAGTGCACAATGCTAAGATCTTCATCACGGAAAGAAATACGGAGCGCCAAATGTCCTCACCTTGTCGACAAGTTGGTGTCTCCTAACTTTGCTGGAGAGGAAATAGAAGAAATGCCCAGCAAGGAACTGAGAGGGCGGCGAGTAGATGCCTAAGTTGCGCCAGTAGCCATGACGGCGACGACTGTGAAGCCATAGGGCGGTGAGGGCGATCAAAATTACCGCGAACGTCACTCCAATCATGGCTGAACCTGCATTAAAAAATACCTTAAATATCATAGTTTGCTTTTAATGACTAAACAGTGGTTTGAACACTAAAATAAGAAAAGAACGGTTTAAATTCTGTCTGAAACAATTTTCATTAAAATCCTCCAGTGCTTCTATAAACTTGCCTGACTGTCGCGTGCAGCATCATCTTATCATGTGGTGTACAATGAGGCATGAGAGAGTACATGAAAGTCATGAAGGCTCAACAATATCTTATGCGAGGTAAAATCAACGAGAAGAATAGAGCATGCATATCATGAAGCATTGTCATGTCATTATCGTGATATTACATTATCATTGCCATTATCGGCCATTGAGCAGATAAGAAGCTGAGGAAGACTAGCCCGGGGTTTGCGCTTCGGTAGAGGAGAATTGACGGTGGGTAACAGCGATATCGGGGCATCAAATGAAAATGTTGCCGAATTAAGGATATGTCTATCAGTCATTTTCTTGGCGCCGATTCGGGATTTATGGGATGCCTTGAATCAGGCACACGGCATTGAAGCTTCAAAACAATAGTTCGTTAATCAAAGTTTCTAAAAACCATTCATCGCAGATTGTTCATTTCGACGAGAACACGAACCTTGTAAGAGAATCCTACAACTCGTGTAAGGGGGCGAATGTCGTTGGAATGTTCACAGAGCGCCGCTTGGCTTAGCAGTTAATTAAAAACGCTCGCTCAACATAAAACGAAACATACGCAAGACGAAAAGCGAGCAGTTTATAGACCATGTATGTTATGTTAATATAATCTGAGATCAAAGGTAAAGATTGTTATTTTATTAGGCATAAAAAACGTGTCAAATTTTCCAACAAATTTTTCACGTAACGGTTTTTTTTAAATCGCTTCATTAACTAATAACTCAAACATTTTTTGACACTCCACCTGTAAAAAAACTAGTAAAGGTGGCGTATTTCGCTCACTGATCTGGGCACCCTGTTCAGAAAAAAAATTTTGATTGTGAAATTTGATGGCTCCAATTTTCATTCATAAATCATACGATAGATTTTGTTGAAACAAGAATAATTGAATTTAACAATCCTTAATTTTAAGCCCTATGGAGACGAGACTGATATAAAGAGAAAAAATATGTAGGAATTTTATATAATATAATTTCATGTAATTTTTATATCATTGTCTGTTACCAATTGAATTGAAGAAAAAAAAGCGTGCGCATCGCAGTCATGCATGCAGTAGCCCATGCTAACACTCAGCACTTTCGTCTGATCATTTAATTTGAATATATATTGTAACTATAAAGGGGTTTCTTACACGCTGGTCCTAACAAAAATCGACAACTTAAGAATACCTCCTCCTACCTGCATCGGCCTGCCGTCGACCTTCTACGTATAAATCAGGGTTAAGCACACTAGCTGGCTCTCCTCCGTTCAAGAGGAACACGCAACTAAAGTGTCACCTCCAATCACACGCCACACGCACACCGACGAAAAGAATACGCAATCTAAGTTCCCTCTACTGATTATCTTATCACCAGTTTTCTGTCTTGGATTTCAGCTAAAACTTTTGCAATATCTAAAGTGCGTATTAAAAGGTTTGTGTAAATGACTTAATGCTCTTCAATAAATTAGGATATTCAATGACAATGTCCAACTTGCTGCATGAGTTGCTAGATGACTATGCAGAGTTTTGGGTGGTGGTGGACGTTTGCTGATTCCGAGGTCCGTAGCGTCCAGCCTGAGTCCTGAATGGCGACTTTGCTCCAGCTGTGGAGAATCAGCAAAGCTCAGTGTGCGAGTAGACGTTGTAGTGGAAGGTACTCTAATTTTTCGCTCTCCGTTTATTACACAGGTAAGATTTACCCTGGCGGTATAAATTGTCGTTTGGATATTTTTGTCCCATTTGAATGTTCACTTAAAATTGTATTGACGAGTCAGAACTCTGTTCATCATCAAAGTATTTCTACTAACTATAAATGAATTATTAAAATTCTCACCTTTTTCATTGGAAATGAAGTTCGTACTTATAAGACGCTAAGCCGATTTTAAGTTTCTGCACACTCATCAGTATGATGTTCTTAAATGTGACGGCTTATATAAACCATCGTTCCAAGCTGCCTTAGATTTTAAATTAACACTGAAATTTGCCTATTTTTTATATCGGAACATTATCTGATATTTTTTGTTGGGATTTTCTTCTAAGCAAAATTTGTATGAACTAATGTTTTTGTTTTCCTTGATTTTTTTCTATATTTTCTAGAATGGCAATCAACTCGCCCTCTCACTGTATAACACACGATCGCAATACCTCGAATTCTTCTTATTAATCGTATCAAGAGTAACTTCATAGTTAAAGTTATCAATATTGACTCCATTTTGCAATGATATATATTAGTTTTTAGGTCAACCATGGTTCCCTCGTATCTGAATGTCGTTAACGAAACTTTAGTAATTCATGGTGCGAGTCCTTTTATCGATAATTTTTTTTACATGGATTGATCAATTAAAGATGCGTAATGGTATTTTGATGTGTGTTAAATGTGTAATGATGTTTGATTTGGTTATTCATCAATAGGAAACATCGTGTGTACCAGGTCCAGGTGCGAAATGAAATAAGTGCGTAACAATGATGTGATTATTTGCGTTGTTTAATTGTATCTAAATTACGCAGAAATTTAAATGCGGAAGGTTTTCAGACGTGAAACATTTGTTACCTTGGGTGATAAGAGCGGTTATCATCTTCCTGATAAGATATGAGGACGTTTGATGTTCTGTAGTCTAAAGGGTGAACTGCATCTCCTATTTTTTCTGGTCAATTCTCACGTTTTGGACGTTTGACTTTTTTTAATTTAGGAGCAATTCTTAAATGCTACTCCGTATCTAAATTATGCAAATTGAAATTGTAACTTAATTTAACGATCCTCTGTTTGCCGCTATGAGTACAGTTCATTCATGAGTTTAAATTATTTATATTAATCGACCGTGAATGCTGCTCGTGAAATTAATGTTTTGGCATCACTGGCATGTTTGCAAAGATACTATACATTTATAATTCAAAACATTCAGATAAAAATCACATCGTTCACATCACTTTTTTTCGTTTGTTGACCATGTCGTTTGAAAACTAAATTATTTGGTTTATAGCAGGATAAATGTGAAATTTTCAGTGCAGTTATTGGTCATTCAACTCTGGATTTTTTTTTGTGAGTTGTAAATGATCGCGCTCGTGATGTGTCTGTCTGAAAGTGTCTGATACACCGCTCGACAACACTGCTTCATTACCGTGTCAACCTATTTTTGATTAATCCGTTATTGTATCAAAACGCAATGAAATTTTCTAGACTATTGGCTCTAAAATTAAAAGAAAATAACTATTTGCATGCGTTATTGGTCAGTTTTTGATCAATTGTGAAAAATTCATTCACCCCGTGTTTCTGTGGTACTGCTGTTGCCGGATGGTCTTGCATCAGTGTTACCGTGTATCCGTGTTGCCGCTTATCTGTCTTGCCGTTTTTCCGTATATCCGTTTTGTCGTTTATTCGTGTTACCTTACCTTGTATCCACGTTACACAACAAGAGTGTGTTTACTCTGATACGTAGTGAACTGTCGGAACACTTGTCCGTGATCAGGCTTCGTACTCTGTCCTCGTATCTCTTCCCTATTTCCTCATAGTTAATACTTGGTCAATGTTTCCCAATATTATCGATATTATCTTATGAAGTTTTATTATTTTTGAAGGTGTAATAATGAACCCTACTCTCGACCACAGCAGTGACAGCGCCGCCCGCCATGCCTCTTGAGGAGACCAAATCTTACCCGCTGGCGCCACGCCGCAAGATCTCGAGGACCCAAGAGAGAGGTGAGACCTATTTACCTTAATCGGTCAACACTGGAACCAACTTACCTGGTTCGATCAATACACAGACTATTTTATACACATTTATTTCCTCTAATATCTGAATTGTTTTACGACATTTATAAGCCAGAAGAAGGACGATAAATATATATGTTTTTTTTTGGCTCTAATTAATGATACTTATTGCATTTTACTTTTCCCACATGTATAGTGAATAATGACCAAGTGCAGCGGCCAACTCATCAGTTGAATCATTTTAAATTTCACTCTTTTGGACACGGTCTAAAATATATGAAGGTCCATTTTTCCCATCGTTTTCATGTAAATGTTATAGTTTAGCTCTTAAAGTTATAATTTGGCTTTAGACGTTACTCTTCATACCTCCAAGTAATAATTCCTCGTCATGCATTCATTATTTACCTGTTGTTTATCCCTATTCGCAATAATTGATCTATGAACGTCATAGTTTCCCTATTTTATTCCTAAAAGTTATAGTTCATTCTCACACGTTACATAGGTAGCTGCTGAACGTCCTATTCTTTGTAACGTGTACATTTTCGTAAGAAACGTTTCCTTCGCGTTCCATCTAATTGTTCCACGCACCAACATCCCTNCCAACATCCCTCAAATCCTTCACTTAATTTCAGCGAACGTTAGTGACAGCGTCTGATTTCTCCTGCTATTACGAGATGACAATTGAACGCATTCAATAGGCCCCTACTATATAATGCGATCCAATTATAGGTTTCATCACACTTGAAATCTTCACAATTTTTGCCCGTATTGTACATCCTTATTCTAAGGGTCTCGTGTTATTTGTTAGAATATACTGCTTCCAAATAATTCCGTGAGGTCGTGATCGTGTTGAATAATTTCATAATGTAAAACGAAACCAAGAAATTTCGTGATCCATTTTGCATTCTGCAGGAATAAGAAAAATAAGAGAATATTTTTTTAAATATTTAATTTTCCGAACGTGGAAGTTGTTTTTTAAATTTGTGATGTACAAGAACCTCATCTTACTTTGTCTCTGCGAGATTAATTTTAAATGTAATAAATATAATAAATAATAAATAAATATAATATTACAACTTTTTTGAGCGCGGGGAAGTAAATCTACAATGCACGTTCCGTCATTTTTGAGCGTCAACTTGGGTAATATTTTTAAGGCACCTGAGCGCGTGCCAAACTTAAAATATTTCTTAAATATTATAATAAAATACTATAATAACTCATCGCCAAACTTAGGGGTCGGACGATGAATTCTTGATTTTTATAACATCGTGTCATCGATTTATAGAGAACTACTGAGAAATATCTTATTAAACTAGAAGGTTTTAACGCGTAAATGCCACCATTATTAAGCTAGATTTTGGTGCGTACTAAATTACAAGGTTTTTGTTAACGAACTGATTGAAGAGTATACCTGTAAAATTGCGCAACGCTTCATCCTATCATGTTATTTCTCTGCCTCTATTTCTTTTAGTTACGTTTCTGTCCATTTTCTCAGTTTCATCATATAAACAAACGAATGGTTTAATAGATACTGAAATATGTACCTGAAGTGTTCACGTGAATAAAGCAGCACGTCTGCCTTATCCTATCGATCGCGCGTGACCCTAACAAAATTTAGAGTCGCCCCAGCTTCTGGTATTCCAAATCAGAAGCTGCCGCGTCTGTAATTTTTCACTGGGGAGTGAACTGCAGTATCTTCTGAGCATCGTACGGCATCACAATCGTCCTATCCCGCTCAAACTTGGGAAGTCTTGCAATGAACATTTCCTTTTATCACAACATTAGCAGTCAAAACTAGACCTGAAAAGGTTGTCTGTTGACGTGTCTGGCATAATTATTCGTCCCGTAGTCACTGACGACAAGTCTCCGGTATCTTGGCGTGTATGAGTGTGGCAAATGAGATACAAACAAATGTATGCGCCCATGTAGCATATTTCTGGCGCCGTGTTTGTCCTTGTATCGTTTAAAAAGCGTTGCTCGGGATCCCGGTATGCTCCTGCGGTGATCATTGAAAAATATAACTCAGTACTCACTGCAGTGAGTGACATGCAGAGAGCGAATTTTCTCGTCGACGAAAATGTGAAGTCACTGACGGACAGACAAACAGACGGACAGACGAACGGACGGACATGGCGAGCACAATAGCGCCTTTTTTCCATAAATGAGAAAATGCGCAAAAAAATTATGATAATGAAATGAAAAACAATTATTACGCACAGATATTACATTTATTGTAATGATGGGAGAAGTAATTAGAATTCCGACCTCCTCGCCGCACAATTTTGTCCTACATCCTGGGGGGCAATTACATAGTTTGTAATTACTTAATAGTTTGGCCCTTCGTCACTTGAACGAAGAAACGTTTCTGCCGTCGTCTTAATTTTTACGGCCGACAAATATCGTGTTAATGAATACAATTGATCTGCCATCTAGCGTCGTATTGCTTAGCTCTATATTTTATTCTATTGGCTAGTATTCGGTGGTCTCCTAAGTTCAGGTCTTCAGAATAGCTTGTAATCTATCAGTCGATACTCTACAAACTATTTTCACGAAGTTAAACCTTTACGTTTATTTACTTTAAGAAGTTATACCTTTTCATACCTTTACGGTATGAAGATACATCGATCATATGCCACCATACATCTACCATACACCACCATACACCTACCATACGCCACCATGCATGCATCTACCATACACCACACATCAGGAGACTGTATCTCGTGTCTCTTAGAGTTCGGCTCATCGGCTTCCTATAAGCGCCACATATCGGGGATTTCACCAGCCCGTCTGTATGCTAGGTACTTCTGATACTAAATGTACAGTAATATTATATTCTATTTACATAATTTTATCGTCATTAATTAATGGAATCCCTCCTTCTGACTAAATTATTTCACATTCTTAAACTGTATGATTCAGGTTGCCGTAAATTACCTCCTCTATTATATCTCACACAATAAGGCAATCATCCAAGCTAAATTCAACCATTTTTCGCTGATATTTCTTCTTGCATTGCTTGTCTCGAGTTGGCAAGAAAGTGTTTTGCTCCCGCGGCTCCGGAATAAGTGTGGCAAATAATGCGTTTACCGCATGACGCATGGCGCTCTTCACGCGCTGCTCGACGGCCGAGTTTCTCTGCGCCGCAAACTACGCGCTTATTGCGGCGACGGAGACGATTGTCTAGGTATCTAGGAGCTGCCTACCGGTGATGTTTGTCTAGGTATCTAGGAGCTGCTTTTCGGTGACGTTTGTCTAGGTATCTAGGAGCTGCTTACCGGCGACTATATGGTCTAGGTATCTAGGAGCTGCTTACCGGTGACGTTTGTCTAGGTATCTAGGAGCTGCTTTTCGGTGACGTTTGTCTAGGTATGTAGGAGCTGCCTAGCGGTGACGTTTGTCTAGGCATCTAGGAGCTGCTTACTGGTGATGTTTGTCTAGGTATCTAGGAGCTGCTTACCGGTGACGTTTGTCTAGGCATCTAGGAGCTGCTTACTGCTGACGTTTGTCTAGGTATCTAGGAGCTGCCTACCGGTGATGTTTGTCTAGGTATCTAGGAGCTGCCTACCGGTGATGTTTGTCTAGGTATCTAGGAGCTGCTTACCGGCGATGTTTGTCTAGGTATCTAGGAGCTGCTTACTGGTGATGTTTGCCTAGGTATCTAGGAGCTGCTTACTGGTGATGTTTGTCTAGGTATCTAGGAGCTACTTATCGGTGACGTTTTTCTAGGCATCTAGGAGCTACTTTCCGGTGACTTTGTCTAGGTATCTAGGAGCTACTTTCCGGTGACGTTTGTCTAGGTATCTAGGAGCTACTTTCCGGTGACGTTTGTCTAGGTATCTAGGAACTGTTTACCGGTGACGTTTGTCTCAAGTCACCAGTAGCTGCAATAATGGAAAGTTGAGCTAAATGCACCTGTGCTAAATCTTTACAGTAAATGAGGTCCCAACGATGTGTGGTGCAGCAAAGTCCTGAGATTATTTTTGGGAAGCCTCATTAAATCACCCGAGCACAATGTTCCTCTACATGAAATCTCCACTTACGAATTAGGTGTCTACGAATTTAAATTACAGCATTTACAGCATATATAATATCCAATTACGGAGTTCTCTGTTTGGAGCTCACAGGATCAGCAGTTCGCTACGCGAAATTATTGCTTCTATACGACCCAATATCATCAACTATAGTCGAGCGTTGCATAGTTTAATGAAAAATATTTAGTATGTTTTGAAATGCTTCTCTGTTATTTGTCAGCGTAGCCATTATAGTGGAAAATCGGTAATAGCCTAACATGAAATACGTCTTCATTCGCATAGTCTCTGACAAGAAACCATTCTATATCGGAATGAGAATCCCTCTGTAGAAGAGGCATTTTAAATTAAGCCACAGCTTCAAGAATTACTAGTGAAATGAATTCGAAACTGAAATAAACGGTATGAATATTCCCTTGTTTGCATTTTGCTTGGTCACGCGTATTTTTTAACGGAGATTCATTCAACAGGCTGGTGTCAGGACTTGCCAAGCGACCTTAGCTAAAAAATGTCTTCGAAAAATCTAATTTCAAGTCGGGCTCAAATAGTAACTTTGAGGGTCTTTGCCTGAAAACTTTTGAGAGCCTCGAGCATTAGCAGCTCGTCAGCCTTTAGAATTTTACACGCGGAAGGATTAGTTCATCATGCGTCACTCCAAGACGTCGTTTGACTTCGCAGTATTAGGTCGTGGCGATCACATGATCATGTTTTGTGATGTCGCTCTATTAGCTTTTTGAAGATCATTCGATCATGTTTTGTGACGCTTTTTGAAGAGATTTTCGACCACCGCATCAGAGGATATAGATTTTTTTGCGCTGATGAAGCCGATGACAATTGGTGATGCATTGAATTGATTGATAGAGACAACAATAAAATTTTATGTACCTTGGTGGGCGATTCGTTGGTTTTATGGTTGCAATTATTTAATTACTGAATATCATTTGCTACGAAAATTAA